GTCTGCCCAGTAGTCATTTTAGAGGATGTAATTATTGTTGTTGGAAACGCCCGTGTGAGGCGTGAGGCGCTGATGTAGCAGACGCACCTCAGTCACTCTCCTTGAGGAGAAAAGCCTCCTCTTTGCTGTTTAGTAAAGATAAATATAGGAATTATTTCACAAGTGTAAACACTTCTAATGAAGGGGTTAGTACAAAGCCACGTTTCCAACACACGGGGACTTTACAGGGACAGAGGCCTTGATGGATACAGGGAGATCCTTAGTGCTGCCAAAGAGTCAGAATTAGTGCACATAAATATTTACTGCCACCTGAGAAGAGAAGAGAACATCCTGAAGGCCTCCCTGTGTCTTCTACAAACCCCTAAAGAATCCGTTTTATATGTTTTATTATGTTTCCCTCCTTTTAGTTTGAGCTACAGAGACAGAAGACCACAGTGGTACATTCCTTGAGAGTAACCCAGAGCAGGTCCTAAACAACCGTTGGAGGTGGCAGTTGAGACATGACAGTGAGCATGTCTGCACAGATCCTCGGTTTAAAGGCATAACGCTGTGGTTTATCAGCAGCTTGGTACTGAACAAGTGATTCTGAAACCTACGTTACTCTCATCCTTCCAGTTATGTCAGGGCAACCACTCTAACCCCAATGGACTTCAATGTCAGGTCGTTCAAATGCCTTATAATACCATTTAATATGAACTTTCTTGTCTCAAGTCACCGTTTTGAACACTTCCTGGGAAGTTTCAGATCTTCACCCAATTTTATGTGGGAACAAATTTACAATGTAGTCTGGATTTTGTTGTACCTGCTCATTTCATCTGAATAAGTGGTTGGCTCCATTTTTGTAAACTTCTGCTCGGATGTCATCATTTGTATGCTAACAATGACTTCATGTTCCAACAAGAATGCCAACATCCAAACAGTGAGCCAATGGTGTGTGGAAGAGAGAACGTCTGTGAAATGGAACAGAAAAACTCAGCAAGGACAAAATTAATGAGGTCCTTCAATCATAGTTTTAAAGGTGTGGAACACTGAAAACCCACGTTTTAATGCTTATTTCTGATTATAATCAGTCACTTTGTGATTAACATGCAGACTGAACATGAAAATAGTCTCCTAAACCTATCTTTTGCATTAGCTTCTGGTAGAAAATAGATGGTAAAAGTCTATGATTAGAAAATCCTGACAGATCTGTGTCACAATGTCACTTAACGTTCATGGACTCACCCATCTTGACTTCAAGTTTTCAAGTTTTAAGCCTTGTGACGGGGAATGCTGTTGTTGATTTAGCGTCCAGAAAACAGCATAGAACATCTCGGCTGGTAGAAGCTAACCGTTAGCATTAGCAACTCCACCACACAGCAGAACTCCTCCAGGCTAGTGTTATTTGTGGAGAGAAAACATTAACATTGCAAAGCAAACTGTCAGTGGTGTCATGTTGCTGTTAGCCAATCATAGTGACCGATCATTTCTCGAAAATAATTAGTAAAACATGATTTCTCAGTGAAAGACCTCTTTGACGAAAGAAAATCCAAGGATTCTGACAGAAGGAATTCATGGGAAAACTGTCTGCGAGGACAAATGAGCCACCTCATCTACAATTTGATAGAATTTTATGTTTGATCCCACACAAAGATGGAAAAAGATTACATATTTATGCTGACACAACATTTCATAAAATAAACCAACTAGCTAACAAACTTTCACACTTATGATCAGTCAATTCAAGAACAAAAACAGTACTACCTTCATACCTAAATTAGACTCACCTCTATTTCAGGTTACTTTCCAAAAAGATGAGAACCAGAGCTGTGGTTAAGAATAGCATCAGAGTGTTACAGGCTAGAAGAACACCAAACCAAACAGCTGGGGCATGTTGAGAACAAACAGCAGTCTTTGAAACACAATAGCAGCTGTACAGGTCACCTTCAGGTGGACTTGATGTCTGTGGAGATGCTTAATCCAAAGCCTTCATTGAACACTGAACAATGAAAGGTTACTGGGAGGAAGCCAAGAAAATTAGCACATTTGAAACAAAAGTACAGAAAGCATAAAGTGTCAAAGGTTAGTAGCCGGTTTCTGGGTTAATGTGGAGCAAGCAACATATTCTATGGTAGCAAAACCAAGTCTTCCAGATGTTTAGACAAGAAAGATCATTCTGAGAAATCCGACTCCATTATGTCATCTTGGGAGAAAAGGTCATCTCTGCCAGCTTTGGGAGGAGGTTTGGACCCAAGATGCAGGAACCAAGAAAGACACGGAGAGTAAGATGTTGAAAAAATTAAAAGCCTTCATTTGAGAGGGTGCTCGCTGCAGAACTACAAAGGCGGAGCTGCACCATAAGGTGGAGCTGCACCAGAGTCAGCCCCGCCCATTCACGCAAACTCAGCCTAGCCCACTGACTTCCGTTTGTTTTCCACTTTATCGCAAACTGACCTGACCCACATGAATTACGGCTGTTACTAGTTTACAGTCGTTAATGCTATGTTCTATGCTCCAATTAAACAAGATAAATATAACTTGCTACATGACAAAACCTGCATATATCTCGAAATGAAAAGGTTTCTTTTAGCGAATATCTGCCCACAGCCGGTCTAACAAAACTGGTGTATAACAGCATGTCAGACTATTGATTGAGCTTTGGTAGTCTAGTGGTATTATTGTGTGAGTTAATTTTTGCTTCCCCCTCAGCTGATGCTGGTTCGATTCTCGGTGGGGTCGTCAGCAATCTATTTAGCCAGCTGAAACATTTAATTTGTTTATATTTTAGTTGTAATGTTTATTTTCAGCAAAATATTTATGTCTCTACAAGTTCTTTGAATTTGGTCGTTCCTAAACAGCATTTTAGTTGAAACTCTGCTCACAAATGGACTCACACTGGCTAAATAAACGAATAATTAAATAAAAAAACACATTAGTCATTATATGTTAAACGGTATACCAGTAAATTGTTGTAAACATAGTACTGGCAAGTGTAGCTAGAAATGAAGAAAAGAGGTTGAGACTACCTAAAACTTCCTCTACTGGGAGGCGAACCTGCGCAAAACTGCATGTCAACCTGAGTCCATAACCACTGCTCCATCATATCTGTTATAAATCATGTGGCGTTACATGTAATTGTGCTTTTCAGAATGTCTCGGAGATGGGTTGTATGGTTTATTGGCGGTGTCTCAGTAGAAGTCATTTCAGAAATAATTTGTCAGAAAATTCACAGAATATCCAGATTTGAGAACCAAGACCAGAGCCGCTTCGGGGGAGGAGACCAAATTGAAGCTGAGATGGGAGGAAAATGTATGAGTGAGGCTAAAAATGGCTTTGGCGTGTTTCTTATGAGGAAATGACAATATAACATGATTAAAAGTTCCAAAAGTTAGATTTTTAATTATATGGAAACTTTACAAAAACTGCTCAATTAACTTCTCATCTCCGTCCTCAATCTTGCATTTTTTTTAGCTATAACACCCTCTTTGGTTCCAGAATGCTATCAAGTCTGACAACTGGAAGGAATTGTACTGACTCTGATGGAATGGGCGGGGCTGACTCTGGAATGGGCGGGGCTGACTCTGGTGCAGCTCCACCCAGGGCTGGACTGGGACAAAAATTCAGCCCGGGCATTTTGACTGGAGACCGGCCCATCACCTGTTTTTTTTGGAAAAGACATTAAGCCTTACGCTGTTTCTGACACACACCAACGTTATTGGTAGTATTTATGTATCAATCTAATAAACGTAAACCTACACCATCCTTCCTATCCTGGTATTCTAAAAAGTAGGGTTGGGGGTAACTGATTATTTTTAAAAAGATTATTCTGATGATTATTTTATCGAATAGTCGACTATTCTAATGACTATTTAGATGATTAATCTAGCGATTACTTTTCTATTGCACAATTAATAAAAACCAAAAAATTCTCAAATAAATTCCTCCAAAAAATTGATAAGTTGTTACTGTAAGAGAATAAACACTACAGGCCTTCCATTTTGTATAACACTGCTTTTATTGTGTTGCGGTTGTTTATGTTCTGGTGATGTGTAGAACTTGGGAGTGCAGGCTGCTGCCTGAGAGGTGGTTGGAGACGGAGTGTCTCCATGCTGCTTTGTTTTGTTCACTTATGTGCATGAGGCAAGTGGTGTTACGACCCTTCCTGGGGAGTCACGTGTTTCTCCTATTTTAACTGTAAATCCTTCTAGCTGTTATATTTATAACAAGAAACAGATATTCGGACGGAATATTTTCATGTTTATTCGAATATGATTGTGGAACACACCCAGCATCATAATAAATGAAGTAATATTTATGCCAATTTAAGCCTTTATGGGTGACCAGGACTCTGTGATCAATTTTTGGCAAGGGAAATGATCATTTGTTGCCATTTTTGAAGTGTTTATGAATGTGAAAGACACCCAGCATCCTGTGATGGCACTAATAACATCAAGAGATAATAAATAAAGTAATATTTAGGTAAATGTAACCCTTTACACGTGACCAGGACACTGTAATCAATTTTTGGCAAGGGAATTTATCTTCTTTTTTTTTTCTTTTCTTTTTTTTTGTGCCATTTTTGGGGTGTTTTTGATGATACAGTAGACAGTATGAGTACAGTAACATCAACAGATAATACATAAAACCCTTATTTGGTCAATTTTAGCCTCCATGAAAATCTTAGCGATTCAATCACTTTTTGGCAAGTAAAATGCCATTTTAGTTGTCTACAATTAAATCATCAATAAAGAATTTAAAGATATTTTGAGGCATTTCTTATAGGTAAACGGGAAGGTGTAGTCTATTTGGCAAGTGACAATCTTAATTTTATGTGCTGAAGTGCTTTTATCTTGTTAATTTTAAATAGAGCAATGTAATGAATAGATAGTAACCTACACAGTGTCATTAAAGCCAAAGCTTGATCATTTTAAATACTTTTTTTCAAGTAAAAATGTGCCCCAAACTAGTTAACTGTGGCTCCATGTCAAGTAGACTAAAGAAAGGAAGGGGAAAAAATTAAATCGCTGGAGAATTGTTTATTTCCATTTATACAACGTTTACATTCAATACAGGGTGCCATTTTACATTGTTTATTTATTTTTTTAGTATCAAGGCTGTAACATAAAGAAAGCCAGTTCTTACCACAAAGTTTGTGGCACAAACCATCTTTCAATCGCAAATATTGCTAAAAGGATTAATATATCCTCATTGTGAACGTTTAAGACAAATAGCAACACTTAAAACAACTTCCGAACTGGAAAAACTAATGTGGCAGGTGCAGAAAGGAGTGCCCGGGCGGGATTCGATCCCCAGACTCCCGAGTGAGAGTCATACGCTCTAACCAGTCAGCCAACGATACATCTCCTTAGCCGAGTAGCCAGGGCGCATCATCAATCGGGATATTGTGGATGCTCACACTGCCACATCTTCCTCCCTCTTTCCACAAGCACGTCCTCGTGCTCCCGCGCAGGGTGCCACAAACACTGCTGCCACACTAATATCCGCGATAAACATCTGTTTAAGTACCGGAAGAGGTTATCTTTGCTTTCTGAATGTCCATATTGCTAGATATGCTGAGTTTTTGGGCGAAATCCTGGGGAATTTTGTCTAGAAATGCAATTACCTAACCGTGCGCGATCCCGCAGTGGCTAATCATTTTTTGGCAGCGAGTCAATTTATGGCACAACACCGGCTCGGGTTTCTCCTCCTCCTCCCTCTTTTCTTCTCCAACCTGTCGCTGGGCTGAGGCTCCATCACTTCCTAAATTGATTTTACTTGAACCTTCACTACCAAACAACTGTGAGATTTTAACACATGTGCCAGTTTCTTTTGTAGTCGAATTTTCTCCGCTCCTCCTTTCCGTTTTTTGTTCTCCATTTTGTAAAGCTCGTCTGTCTGTTTACTGAGATTCACAAACAACTGGCGGGTGCATCAGACCTCTGGCTATTGGTCCAGCCCAGAGTGTATTATTACCAATTGGCCAATCCACCAACTTTTATGAGGCGTCGCGTGGGGCGGCGCGGGCAAGTTGTCCGCAACAACTAGAGGCCAGGAAAAAAAAAAAAACAGACACCGGCCCATAAAAGATGAAAGGGTCGGCCCAGCGGGCAGTTGCCCGCTATGCCCTATGGTCAGTCCAGCGCTGGCTCCACCTTCTGGTGCAGCTCCACCTTTGTGGTTCTGCAGCGAGCACCACTTGCTTCATTTTAGGAGCAAGGCAGTCCACAGCTCAGGGGAAAGCACTGGAGCAGAATCAAACTTAAAGTGCTCAGTGGAGGCAAGCTCAAAGGCTAGAGACTCAAGAAAAAACCACACAGGAGGCTTACAAAACGCTAACAACGAACCGACAAACAGAGACAAGACAGGGCTTTATACACAGAGGGAAGCAATCAGGAAACAGGTAGCAGGTGTGGGGGGAGTGAGAGCTGAAGCGAGGCAGGAGAGACTATGGCCTAGTCCACACGGAGCCGGTTTTTTTTTAAAAACGAATATCCGCCCCTCCAAAAACTTGCATCCACACCACCTCGTTTAAAAAAAAACTGTCCACACGTACCTAGATAAATACGTTGTTAAGCACATGCCAGACCTGTAGGCGGCAGTACTTCCCCCGTTCTTAACCTCGTCCTTCGTCTGTGGTCTTCCGCAAGGAGCAGTAATTCCGCTTGCAAAAACAAACAAGCAAAAAGCGCTTGGACAATTGATAAAGCGAGCGCAGCTCTGAGGGCATCCATGATGTCGGCTAGTGTAAAAACAGGTCGCACACGTGATGTCAGCATTTTTTGTCGCGGAAAGTGACGTTGCGGACCTTAAAACTCCGGTTTTGTCTGTCCACACGCAGACACCCAAAACGGAGAAAACGCAGATCTTCACTTTGGCCGGAGTTTTTAAAAAGATCCGTTTTCGTGTGAAAAAACTCAGTTTTCGTGTGGATGACAGGCCAAAACGTAGAAAAATATCTACGTTTTGGCAGATTCCCGGCTACGTGTGGACAGGGCCTGAATTACTGAGTGGGAAAGGAACATAAAACACTAAATGGGAAAAACTAATACATACTATAAACATACAACACTTAAAGATAGGAGAACTAATAAACCTGTAACTAGAGACAAGAACCAAAAGAGGAGATCTGATACTGGCAACTTAATAATGGACATGGGAAAACTAAATGTCAAGTGAAGTGAGGGGAACATGGGGAAACCTGGAAGTGGCTGGGGACCACAGGGACACAGAACATGACAATCTCAACCATTACTGGGGTTTACAGATAATGGTCAGACTGGTTTTAGATGATAGGAAGGCAACAGAATCCCACCTGAGCCTGGTTTAAACCCTATAGCCTACCTGAGTGTTGTTGCTGACCAAGTCAATCCCTTTATGACCACATGGACCCATACATCCAGCAGGATCATGCACCATGTCACAGAGCTCAGATCATCCTTAACTGGTTTCTAGAACATGACCATAAGTCCACTGGACTCCAACAACTTCCACAGTCACCAGATCTCAGTCCAGAACTTTTGGGACGTGGGTGGATTGGGAGGTTCTCATCATGGATGGAGCTGATGCTGTCATGTCAGGATGGACCAGAATCTCTAAAAAAAATTTCAACAATGAAGGCAGCTCTGGAAGGAATATATGGGCCAACCCCACTTTACATTATAAACTGACAGCACAGGAAATGTGGACAAACACGTTTTTGTTTTTGGAACAAAATCAAAAACAATTGGAAGCATACTCTACAACCACTTAGCTTCTGCCAAAAAATACTGATTCAGATGCCCAACGATTTTTCTCTGACTCAGTGCAGCTCTCATTAGCTAAACAAGTTCCACACAGGGCTCCTTTCCTCTCAACTTTCAGCAGAAGTTGCCGCAGTTCCATCAGCAGGTGAGGGGCACCGGTGTGAGATTTCATGCTTGTGCAGCAGCTTGAAGCAGCGAGAGAAAGGAGAGAGTGGGGCTGCTTGGCAGTTAATGTGTGAAATGGATCTCCGGTAGCCCTGCTCTGCCTTCAGCACAAAGTGTTGGTCTGTCAGCGGCGCCTCTGCTCCCGGGGAGAGCTCCCCTCGTCTGTGCTGTCCTGGTGACTTTTCATTTGATTATATGGTGCAGCGACTGAAAGGGAGCTCCTAAATAGGCCTTTCTCACCAGTGACTCAGAACTTCGTGGGGTTTATTCATTTAAACGGATTCCTCTCATCATCTGAACCAGCAGCACCGACGCTAAATCCAAACCAACAAGAAATAATTTAATCATCCATGCTTGGTGCCAACAGATTCCACAGGAGCATGTGTGTTTTTACAGGATTAGTTTTATTACAACGTTAAAATGCATACGATTGTTTAATAGTTATTTGCGTAAAAATAACAAGTTAGTGGTTTATTTTAATAATTTCAGAGCTGTGTCAGATTCGGTGGTAAGCACAATAAATAGATGTATCTGTTGTTTTATTGAATGGTTTCTTAAAAATGCACATCGTATTTACAAATCATGGCAATAGGATTGTTTTACACATGTATGTACACCTACATATATATGTTTAAGAAAGTCTGCATCCACAGTATGTAAATTGTTTTAATATAAAACAGTGCTAATATAGTTCGGTGTAAAAAAGAAGTGCAGTTTTACAAATGTGAGCACACAGAAGCTGTTAAACAGCTAAACCTGAACCTGACGGGGAAATAAAACGGACCCTTTAGATTCGGGTCAGACGTGACCTCACACCAGCTAAAGACGAACACATTTAGTTTGGTGCAGCTTTGGTGAGCAGAGTTATCAGCTTGTAAAACACACACTGTACTTTTGGTTCTGAAGGATCTGTGAGTAGAGCTGTGCCGACGACAAGATGGAGAACAATAGAGGCGGAGACACAACAGACAGGACATGGTGCCATCATGCAAGCAGGTGTTGATCTTATCTGATGTCTTGTTTTTAGCTGAATTGCATGTGTGTGTTGTCCAAGAGCTTTTACACACGACAAACTACATTTGTTGCATTAAGATTTCCATTTTCTGACATTTATGTTTTGAATTTCACTCTAAAACCTTCCAATGATAGTCCTGATCTTTTGAGGTAGGTCTATGAACAATGAACATCTCAGCTGTTGCAGAGGGCTCTGAACAAACTCAGTGTAACAGCCAAACAGACGTAAACAGGTACGGCCTTAAAACTGTTTAAAACTCAAACACGTCTAAGGATTGCATGTTTTAAGTCAGTTTCATGTTAAATAGTTATTGCAACGGAAATATTCCCACCTTAAATACTGCAGCCCTTAAAGTCATCCAATATGTGTAAATATACTGTCTGGCCACAGCCCATAGGCAGAGCTCAGTCATGGGGAGGAGTCTACGGTTGTCTTTCAAACTGTATCCACACGCAATTGAACAGCGATCAAACCAATCTGAGCAACAAACCATGTGACGTATTCATCGCTACAGAAATCAGTCAACGGGGCAGTCAGCCATACACCACTGAAGAAGAAGCAAAACATCCTTTTTCTAAATAAATGACCTAACTACCTCTATCTGCTCATGTCTCAGAGTAAAGCTCAAGTCTAAGTTGTCCAAAGTTGGAGCCAAAACCATTTAAAACAAACGTTGTTCCAGAGCCGAGGCCATCTTTGTAGTTTTTCTCTGTAGCAGCTCTTGTGTAAAGCCTACCCTATGTCACTAGTGACTAGTAAGGTTGTGAAAAATTACATCACAATCCCAGTAACAACGTAACACGTTTTCTGTGAACTCTGATGTGCTTTTGTGTGTAAGAGTTGGCTAAAGTGAGACCAACGCTAGCCCAACTCTTCTATGGTCTCTGGTTGATAAATAAAAACAGAATCAGTTTCAACAAAAACAAAAATGTTACTTAGCTACTTTTCAGCTATAAACATGTTTAGTATCAGCGGCGTGTCTCCTGGATGCTGAACTCTTCTCCTCTCACTAACATGTCCGTCACTAACATATATCTGCTAATGAAGATTGTTCAAAGACCCATCAACAACAAATACAATAGTAATGTTCATAACCTCACTCAAAATATCTGAGAAGGCTCTTCTGTCTCATCTGCCTCTGAATAAAACCAGAGCGTGATTTATTGACACTTGAAGCCTGAATGGAAGCCATCTACGGAGTTCTCCTTCTACACGTTTCTGTTTCTACCTGCATGTTTTTTCTGATAAGACCTTAATATGCCCATTTAAAAAGCAACAATACCTCCTGGTAAAATAAACTTAAGCATGAAACACACTTTTCAGTGATTGTATATGAAGTATGTTTAAAAAACAGTAGTTTTTGTAAAATGATAAATAATAGTGCATGTGCGTTAGACTGCCTACAAACTTTACTCTACAGATGGAGGATGGTGTGCGTGTGTGTGTGTGTGTGTGTGTGTGTGTGTATGTGTGTGTGTGTGTGTGTGTGTGCGTGTGTGTGTGTGTGTGTGTGTGCGTGTGTGTGTGTGTGTGTGTGTGTGTGTGTGTGTGTGTGTGTGTGTGTGTGTGTCTGTGTGTAGGGCGATAAATCAAAGGATTCCCTGGTTTACTTAAACGTCAGTGTCCAAAGGTGGCGGAATGTCCAGACATGGTGACAGTGAGTCCTGACTGTGTGTGGAGCTAATCCCGGTGTCTGAGTCTGTGTCTGTAATGTCTACAGGAGACAAGCTGTGCTTGACCATCTGGGACTCGCTGCAGGTAGCTTCACTCTGCAGAGGGACGAGTGTGGGGTTCTTCTCCTGTGTGCAGGCCATGATTTGTAGAGAGTTAAGCTGCGAGGCCAGCTGCCAACACTCCTGGTCCTTGGCGATCAGCGTGCTATCAATGTACTTTATCTGCTTGTCTATGTCTGCAGCTTGATTCTGAAGAGCCACTCCACCAAAGAGGCTATGCTTCAGGCCATCCTGCAGCCTCTCTAGCTCTTTGTTGTAAAATGACTCGTCGGTTTTGGAGGGAAGCCGAGAAGCAGCTGTGGCTTCTTCCTGTTCGCTATCCTCTTCTTGGATGAGAGGGAGGTTGGCTTTCCTTAACTCAGCGTCGATGTCCAGGGAGAGTTGGAGGATGAGCTCCTGATGCAGCTGAATCTGCATATCCAGCTGCTCAACACCATCACTGGTGTACAGGTACTTCTGCAGCTGCTCCTTGCTGTCTGCGGCCAGACTTGGGCTACAGGCCAGAAGAAGTGAACTTTCAGAGTCGGTTTTCCTGTGCATTTCCATCTCAAACTGCTCAATCTCCAAATCTAGGTCCCTCATGTGCTGGATCTGCTCTCTGATGGCGTGGTCCTGGTTGAGAATGAGCTGCACCATCCGTTTAATCTCCTCCGCCCCTGGTGAGCTCTTGTTCTCTTTGTGAATCTTCTCTAGTTTGCGAAAAGCTTTTTTCACCATGCGCTTTTGTTTGTCCACAGGCGGAGGATGGCCGCTCTGAGTGCGACAGTGCTCCCATCGCTTTGGCTTGGCCCCTTTGGACTTTGCAAACTTTTTTGCTGCCTGAGGAGCAAAATCGCTGGTTTTTACAAGAACAAACTGTATAAAAGGCCTCTGGTCACCCCAGGCATACCAGAGTCTCAGGATTCTGGTGAGAGGAGGCAAGGCCCGCTCAAAGCCTTTCCATCGCTCAATGAGGCAGAACTCTTTGGGTTCCCCATGCAGGAGCCGTTTGCTCTCCGGAAGAGTCTTTTGGTCCTCCAGTAGCGCCTGAATCATATCAGCACACGTGGTATGCTTTGTCACACCACAGACAACCTTCTCTTCATTGCAGACGCTAACTTGAATCTCCTTTCCCACTACAGCCTCGGTGTCTTTCGCCCTATAAGAGACAGAAAAACAGAGGTTAAGCAGATACCTCCTCACTTTCCCTTTCAGATCATCCTTTCCTATAGTATTGTTTATTTACACAAGTATTCGTGGCTTTTTCACATCTGTAGGGGTGACATGATCTTTTAGGCTGATTGAAGACCAGACACGCTGCTGAATTCTGGACCATTTGAAGAGGTCTTACAGTACAGGCTGGAATACCAGTTGGAAGGGCACGGCGGTAGTCGAGCTGGGAGATGACTGCCGATTGCACCAGGAGCTGGGTGGCATACTGTTAGGCATGGTCTGATCTTTCGTATGTTATACAGCGTGAAGTGGCATGAATGAGCGACAGAGGCAACATGGTCTTTAAATATCAGCTGGTTATCAATCACAACACCCAAATTTCAACCTGCCTTTGAAGGAGCCAGAGACAGGGAATCATTTTGGCTTGAGATATTGTGCCATATGGATGATTTAGCTGGGATGACATTACAGGGCGACAAAATAATATGATTCAAAAATTCAGATGACAATTGCAATTTTTAAGACTGAATTGAATTGGAAAATTTAGGTTCTAAGACACATCCAGGATTACCGGGAGATCTTGTTGGGATTGTGTTGTGTCAGTAAAAGCATCCATCAACTCATGGTTGAAGTTTGAATTGCACCACACTAAAGAAATTCAGTAAATGTTCTATGAACATTTCCAAGAAAACATCAATACACTGCTTTTAATGATCAATTCAGTATCATAACAAGAAAAATTGCAACATTTCAGCGTACTGATATTTTCTCATGCCTTAGGTAGCATAGGGTCAGGGTAACTCCTTCTTTCCACCGGAGCCGTCAGCAGCACGTTACTGCAGCAGCACGTCTTGCTCGCGTAAGCTGCTGCTTGGCCCTTCCCACGAGACGTGAAGCAGCAGGGGAGCAGCTGTCACCGACAGAGCCGTCAGTAAACACAACAACAAGCAGGAGAAAACTACAGCATGACTCACATAACTCACCATCTTGCCCCAAAACCGCAGATATGTCACTCTATGTGTTATCCTTCTTGACGTTGTCTTTATAAAAACTGTGACTGGGATCAAACAGGATTGGGTACTTCTCCACTTCAGTAATCAACCTTTCGTCATCCGTTATGGAAAAACAAAGGAGACCGCTAGCTAGGTGATAACATTTTTTTAAAGTAAAGCAACCGGAAGGCAGTACGTTTCTTTATTCTGAAAATCTCGGGAAGCTTCGCTCCGTTTCCGCGTCCGATTTCCTGTCTTTCCTTCCCCAAAAATGTCGAACTTGACCCGTTTCAGATGCGTAGCGCGTAGAAAATAGAACCGGCGCGTAAGGGCCGCGACATGCTGCTCCTGAGACGCGGCCGACTCGCGCTGCTGACGGCTCAGGTGGAAAAGGTTCTGTTGACCACAGCGGTTCCTATCAGCAGCTATGATGTGCTGCTGCAGTAACGTGCTGCTGACGGCTCCGGTGGAAAGGAGGGGTTAGGGTTAGTGGTCATATTCAGATGAGATTTCACCCAAATTAAATATTCACTTAGCTAAAGAGGAAAAAAATAACCAGATGTGGCAAAGAAGAAAAACAGAACCTAGGAGTGAAACAAAGAAAGAAAGCAGGAATAAACTGGATGCACAACAGAAGAAGTCCCATCCAGAATTTCACTGGATAAAATTTGACCCCACATGTTCCCATTTGTTCTCGTGGTTTTTGGAAACCAAAGTTTGAGAATTAAAGGAGTAAGTCCACTTTAGAAATGCCGACAGAAAGCTTGACTTTATAAACCGGCATCTAGACAGACATCTATGCTGTCTCTGTGTTTGTGGGATGACTCAAGGTGGAGTCATTATGAGCATGTTTACATTTAGCTCATCTCATATCTGTTTAAGTGCAGTCTCCCTGTGCTGGACTGGCATTTATTGTTCAGTACAAAGGAGGCTTATGACCTCCTCTCCAGACAGTACAGAGACAGTAGGACTGGGCAATAAATCAAAAATTTATCGTTATTGAAATATCTGACTTTTATTGTGATAATTTTTTTCATGTCAATAAGTTTGCTAATAAAAAAAATGAAAAGATGCGTGTAGGTTGGCAACATTCATGCCCCTTTAAGAGGCTGTACCACCTTGAGTCACGTAAAAAATGTGACTCAAGGTGGCACACGTGACAGCCCCATCTAGTGGACAACTTTTGTTTCTGCACATCGCTGTAGTTATCCATTTATCGTTATCGAGGTGGAATCCTCAATATATTGTGATATTGATAGTAGGCCATATCGCCCAGCCTAAAAGACAGTATCCACAACATCCAGTCCCCCTAGTGATTCATAAACCTCCAGCCTTCAGAGTAAAAGTGCTTCGTATATCCTCAAACACATTTTCACACCCATAGCATCGAAAAATGATGATGGGTGACCAAGTATTTGTTTCCAATCCTAACCCTAACCTCTTGCTATTTAAGCTTGCCCTCACCCCATCCTAACCTTAACCCAGTTTCTCATTCTAAACTTCCTGTTAACCTGTTGCTAGGGAAAATATTGCCCAAGGAAAATAAGGCCCCAGGATCGGCCCTGGTTATGACAATATTATTATTACTTCTCTATTCGTATTATTAGGTGACATTTGACCTACTGACACGCTGTGCAATAGTTGCCAGTGGTCACACAGACATAAGAATGCTCTTTTCTTCCAAAAAAAGGTACAATGTTGAAAAAAATACATTACATGATCCAGAGGGACTCTGATAAAATGATAAGCATTACGACTCTGAAAAAAATGTGGGCACAAATGGGTTAAGCTAGTGATCAGAAACTACACTGACTCATTTTGCGCTCCCTGGTTTGATTCTATTAGACTGTTACTCATCAGAGATGATCATTTAATGGTTTGATTCTGAGCTATTTAAGCCCAAGGCCCTCATTAACTTTTCGTCTGGACCGTAAAACTTGTTTAAAGATTGACCGCTGATGGGTCGATGAAATCCATTTTTTACAAGCCTAATGGGGCACCGGTAATATCCAGGACCTAATATCCAGTCATTACATGATATGCAGCAGCAATGCAGACAACCACAAGTAATCAAATAAGTAGATAAACATTTCTATCTGGTTCAAGACAAAGAAGGATGTATTATCTTACGGCTTATTTGAGAATATTTTTATTTTCTGAAATGTATGTGATGTATTGAGTTAACTGATGTACTGCAGCAGAAGTCCAAGTTCATTGAATTAATTATGTTTTGACTTTTAAAGGAAAACTAAAAGACTTCTTTAATAATAACCCCAACTAAACCAAAAGTCAATAATCCAACATGACAGAGACCAAACCTGAGCTCCACCTCTGATCCTGATCCAAAGGTTGGATTAGTGGGTGAAAGGAATGCCGGTTTGTGGTTTGGCAGCCCTGCAAACAACTTTTCATTCTAGCAACATCAATAAATCAACGTAATTGGATGAATTATTTCAGCTTCCACCTAGTAGTGATGTGACGTTCAAGAACGAATCAAATCTTTTGAACGGGTTTTCAAAGTGAATGATGACAGCCGAGTCCCTGTAGAGAGCCGTTCATCTTAACAAACTTCCCCGGAAGTCGGTCAAACTCACCCGCTCAAACCCCACCCACCGCTGTGACAGACATAGGAGGAACCATAGATACGTATAAACACGTGTTTATTTACATATCTTGACTTTGTTCAAAGGAGCCAGTCATTTGAACGGTTCTTTCAGGTAAACGGCCGACCAATGAACGGCTCCCATGAAAGAGCCATAAATCCCATCACCTAGATAAGGTCACAAACGTTGTTTCAAGTGAAGACGATTAGATTGAATTATGCTGACAGCTGTTGTTTAACAGGAAATCTTCTGGAGGTATAATATTATTAGACTGGAAACTCCACACCAACAACAGCAGCATTATGTGTTTTAACACATTTTGTTATTTTTTTTTTGTATTTGAAGGATACAGTATAGTAAATGTTTGTCCTCTTACATATTTCATTTGCTTTTATCATCCAAACAATCAGCAGATGGATTTCACTATCAGACAAACTGAACTTAGTAAACACAAAATGAGGTTTTTAAATGAAGTTTTCATTCATTAACCCTTATATTACATTTTAATTTTCTAACATTCCTGCCTGGTGTTTGAACACAAAAAAATGCAGACACAATACTTCCTCATATAATATTTCATAACTCCCATTTTTTTAACATGAATTTTGTCATTGGCTTCAGTCCTCACAAAATATAATAAAATATTTGTGTGTTCCTGAGATGCAATCTATTTATTTCACCCTTTATTATCAGGTGCATGATCATAACCAGAAACATCTACGGGGCCGGAGTGGCTAAATTACCTCAAACACAGTGGCGGAGCTTGATATGTGCAACATGTGCGGCCGAACAGGGCGGCAGTCTGGAGGGGGCGGCATTTAATTTCCTTTTTTTTTTTTTTTTTTTCATCAACCGATACATCAACAAAACATAGAAATCACATTTTCTTCATAATAATAATAGTGATGAGTGATGATAATAATAATATTTCTGTAATAAAAGCACAACAAAGTCATTGTTTGCGTTTATATTGGGATTTTATTGCGCCCCTTGTGTCCGCCGCGCCTCTGTAGTGCGCTCTATAGCGCCCTTCATCAGGTGGGGGGCGGAGGGATCTCGGAGAGTGATGATGGAGGGATACAGGTACCGTTTCACATATCACCACTCACAAACATAATGGAGAAGAAGCGGTAGAAGCCATCTGGTGCCCAATTTCGGAAAGAAAAGAAGAGGAGAAATGAGGAAAAGATGCAGGTATGCATCTCTTTATTATTTAGTTGGTATTTTTCCCGCCTGTCCCCCAACTTATTGATTAACTAACCTCTCTAATCTGTACGTTTTGCATGGTGCTATGATGATCCCTTCAAATGTCTTTTGCTAGCTTCTTACGTTGCATGTATTTAGAACTACTTCCAACCGCTAACTTTTTCTTTGTCAAATGAGCTTTTATG